AAAAAAAAAAAAAAAAAAAAAAAAAAAAAAAAAAAAAAAAAAAAAGAGCCTATCTATCATAGTTTAAGAAACATAAAAGAAAATTGTCCAGATCTCTTAGAACCAGAAGACAGAGTAGAAATAGAAAGAGTCCACTTGTCACATACTGAAAGAAACTCCAAAATGAAAATGCCCAGAAGTATTGTGACCAAAATTCAGAACTTCCAAGTCAAATAAAAGATTAGTTAGACAGGATTTAGATACCAAGGAGCCACAGTCAGGATCACACACAGTTTAGCAACGACTATAGTATAAGGAGTAGAGAGCTTGGAATCTAATCCATAATGCAAAAGATAAAGACTTAGAGCCAAGAGTAATTTACTCAGCAAAACTGAGTATAATCCTATAGGGGGAAAATGGTTCTTTAAAGAAATAGAAGGGGCAGCTAGGTGGCGCACAGGGCAACTAGGTGGCGCAGTGGATAGAGCACTGGCCCTGAAGTCAGGAGGACCTGAGTTCAAATCCGCCCTCAGACCAAACATTTGACACGTACTAGCTGTGTGACCTTGGGCAAGTCACTTAACCCCAATTGCCTCACTTTAAAAAAAAAAAAAGAAATAGAAAACTTCCAAGCATTCCTGATGAAAAGACCAGAGCTGAGTGGAAGCTTTTAAATACAAATACAGGGGTCAAAAGAAATCTAAAAAGATAAATGAGAAAGCAATCATAAGGGACTAAACAAAGATAAACCTTTTACATTCTAATGTGTAGAGATAATATATATATATTCTCTCAGAATATTGTCATCATCAAAAATCATAACACAGAGTCTAATTAGACAGATGGCAAGGGGGTAGTTCTGTTATGCTTTGATGATCTTAGAAGAATGGGAAGGGAGGGTAAGAAGAAATTACTGGGGTGGGAGGAGGGAGAAGAAGAATGAGGAAAATTAACTCAATTAGGGTGCATAAGTGTAAGTCTATACAAAGAAGGAGGAAGGTATGGGGGGAACCGGAAACACTTGACCTTCATTCTCATCTCAGAGGAGGGAGGAATACACACACAATTGGGTTCTAAAATGCATGTTACTCAATAGGGTAACAGGAGGGAAAGGAGAGAAGGGAAAGAGAGGTGTAAGAGAGGGAAAATTAAAGGAGGGATTAGTCTTAAGCAAAACAAATTCTTTTTTTTGGTTAGGCAATGGGGTTAAGTGACTTGCCCAGGGTCACACAGCTAGTATGTGTTATGTAGTAGTTATGTGTCTGAGGCTGGATTTGAACTCAGGTACTCCTGACTTCAGGGCTGGTGCTCTATCCACTGCACCACCTAACTGCCCCCAAAACAAATCTTAAACATGAGATGGGGAACCAGGAAGGAAAAGCATAAAAAAATAGGATGGAAAGAAGTACTCAATTAACAGTCATAACTGTGAATTGAATGAGTTCACCTATCAAATGGAAAAGGATGGAAGCAGGCTTAGAAAGCAGAATTCAGCAGTATGTTGTTTACAGAAAGCAAACTTGAAACAAAAAAAATGCACCTAGAGTTAAAATAAAAGGTTAGAGCAAAATCCATTGTGCTTCTGATGAGGTAAGAAAAATGCTACAAAATGCAACAGATTGTCATTAAATAGGTAGACCAAATCCCTCTTTCTTGCCCCCCCCCTTTTCTGGAATGTCTTTTCCCAGAGAGCAGATTTGACTGTGGAAAAAGTTTGGTACATTCATCCCTGTTTTTTGCATCTCCTTACACTAGGTCCCAGGCCTTCACCACATGGTTCTTCCAGCTTGTCAGAAGAGGGAGTTTGAGTTAGAGGCCCTGGGGTTGCTTGGAGGAAGTAGAGTTTTACCCCCTTTATGGATAACAGTTCAAAGATGGCTGGTGATCCCTAAAAGGGATCTGGCCTTGAGATTCTTCCACAAACTGTTGTAACTTGACTCTCTTTGATCCTAAGGCCCTGGAGGAAGCCTTGAACATTCAGGCCTCTCCATCCCCTACACCTACTGCCTTTGGAAGTCCTGAGGGACCAGGAGGGCTCCTTCGGAAACAAGAGCTGCTCACCCAGAATGAGTTATTGAAGCAACAGGTGAGGGGGGTGAATGGGAAGGGAAGTCACGGGAAAGGGAGAAGTGGGAGATTTGGTTTGTAGTGTGCGTACTCTGGTATCAAAATGAGGTTAGGAACAGTTTGCCAGATGTGTCATGGGATTTTTGGCATGATAACAGCATTCTGTGTTCCAGACCTAGACCTCTAGCTACACTCCTCCTTGATGCTCTTTGTTGATCATATGCGAAATTGCAGCCATCCACAGACACGAGGACTGGCACTTTAAAGGCTTTCAAAGGCCAAGGCTCCCATTAATGCCTTGACCTCTCTCTCCTCTGCCTAACAGGTAAAGATCTTTGAAGAGGACTTTCAAAGAGAACGGAGCGATCGTGAACGAATGAATGAGGAAAAAGAAGAGTTGAAGAAGCAGTTGGAGAAGCTTCGGGCCCAGGTTACCCTGTCTAATGCCCAATTGAGAGTGGGAATACACCTTATGGTGTATTTCACCATAGGAGGAGGATGGGGTGGTGGAACAGGATGCCTAGGGCAGGCCCCAGGGAAGCATGCTACACTTTCTAGAAAGGAAATATAGGATAGTAGATGTAATATTCAGAGTGAGGAAGACCTGGGTTCTGGCCTTGCCTTTGATATATACAGACTACGTTAGCCTGGTTAACTTCTCAGTTAAGTAATTATTCAGTAAATCAACCCTAAGCTAGGTTGTAGAACACTTTTGGTCCGCATTGGTAGGAGAAAATGAAGTTTCCTTAATGAGGCTTCCTTTAATAATGAAATCACAGGTCTTAGTGAAAAAAATTATTACTGGTATTTGGTGAGAACAGTGATGGTTTGTCACAACCTGTGGTTGGGTTCATGTGTCTAGCAGTGGGAAGAGGCTATGGTTAAATTAGCTACATGGTCTTCTTTCTAAAACTGTGTCTGTGCAGCAGAATGAGACATTTATATGGGATTGAACCAATACTGATTCATTAATAATGTGTTGCAGTGGTTATGAGATGGTCAAGGAGAAATTGAAATCTAGCACCACTGATAAGTGCAGTGACAAGTTGTGGGTTTGGGCAGAAACATCCTGGGCTTCAGCACAATCATGTGTAGTTGATGTAATTAACATCTACCCTTTTTGCTTTTCCTTAGACTCATGAAATGTTAGAGTAGGGAAGGTCTTTAGAGTTTATCTGATCTGATCTCCTTTAACATGGGGGAAACTGAGGCCAGAGAAGCAATAGGACTTACTCATGATCATGAAATTAGCTAGTGGTTAAGGGAAATTAGAATTCCTTGACTTTGATTCCCAATCTAATATTCTTTCTCCTGCACTGTATTTTTCATCTCTGGGAATATCTCGGGCTTTGGAAGCAGAAATGAGGTATGAAGAGGTAGACTTGGTTTAGTGGAAGAAATTCTGGTATGGGGATCAGGAGACCTGGGTTCTAGAATTAGCTCTGCTATTGTTTCTATGTGACCTTAAGCAAACATTTCTCCTTTTCTGGACTTCCCTTTTCTTTGTAAAATTAGGAGGATTGGACCAGATGGATTATTAAAATATCTCCAGCTCAAAGATTCTGGATTCTCTGAGATCCCTTTCTGTTCTAATGGTGTATCTGAACATCCCAGGCACTGTTTTATGACCATGCTCCTTCCTGAGATGTTCAGAATTTATTCTTTTCCTAACTTTCCACTGATAAACACCTAGACTATATCTGTCGCTGTGCCTTGATCTTGACCAGTTCTATAGACCTAGCTTTCTTAGGTCCTGAATGAAGAACCCTGGATAGAAATATGTCAGATGGTAGGGTAAATTTTTCATGGGTTGCATTGGGTGTGCCCTACTGGCTCTGGGCTCTTTGATTGACCGGGATGCCTTTGTTTTCTAAATGGGTTGTCTGTATTTCTCTTAGCTAAAGGCTTTCAAGGAGGAAGAGAAAGCCAGGGAAGCCCTCAGGCAGCAAAAGCGGAAGATGAAGGTATGAAACCCTGTGGTGAAAGTGGGCAGAAGCCCCAGGCTAGTTTTTGAATGAAAGTTTAGGCTCTTACACACCAGCAGGTTTTTTGTTCTTGTATTTTCCTGTTTTGGTTGCAAACTCTTTTCTTTTTGGGTATAGGCAACATAGAACAATAGATGGAATGCTGACCTTAGAGTCAGAAAAGTCAGGTTTCAAGCCCATTTCTGCTGCTGACTATGACCTTGATCAAGGTCACTGAGATTACTTCTAACTTTGTGAATTTAAGACATCAAAAAAATTGTGTTCCATAAGGTTCTTGTGATTCTGAATGCTTAGGTGCTGCTGGGTAGAATGAGGTGACCTGGGTAATCTGAAACCTGAACTTGTGTTTTGTCCATCTTTGTAGGCCTCAGGAGAAAGATACCACATGGACCCCCTCCAGGAGCATATCTGTGGGGCCTATCCCTATGCATACCAAGCAGTACCCCCACTCCTGCACCACCATGGTTTTGAGGACTGGTCAGAAATCCGATACCCACCACCACCAATGGCCACAGAGCATCCACCTCCAATCCCCAACTCCCGCCTGTTCCATCTGGTGAGTTGCTGTCCTTGGCATTAACCTACCTAATTTAGTTCTCCCCTCAAGTTTTTTTCCTATGTCCCCCTCCTTTCAACCTACACCTGCAGGGTTAGTATGCTTGGACCTAGTGTGGGACAACTAAACCTCCAAGGTCTCTTTCAGCTCTATATTGATAGTCCTATGAATTTTGCAGCAGTCAGTACAGTGAAAATATGAATCTTCTCAGTGCCATAATCATTGGTACCAGAACTGAGTCCTAGCTAGGAGAGACCTGCCTTTGATTCTGGTCTGTGGCTAGGAAATTCTGGCCATTCTGGCCCTCATGTCATTTCAGAATCTTGGGATTCATCAAGAAAAGATCGAAGGATAAAGCATGAGAAAATAGCAAGGCTTGATTTAGCCAAGTCCAAAAAAAAAATCACCCATTTCTGTCTAGAAATATTAGCATATTTTGAGCCTTCTCTCTCTGTCATTTCCTTTTCAGTTTTCAAGTCTTGTTGACTTCTTCATTCAGATGTTTTCCTGTCTACTCCCTTTCTGTGCAGGTCCTCAAGGCTGATTTACAGCAGAAACCTGTAAGATTGTCTCCCACTTTTTCCCAGCCTCTTCCCCTCCAATCCACTCTGTACCTGACCAATCTATGTTCCCTAAACAGTTTTATTTCATATGTACCCTAAAAGCAGCATGTTCTAGCAGGTAGAACCTTGATCTTGGCATCAGGAGATGTGGACTTTGAGTCCAAGTACGGAAATCTGTTGGCTGTGTGATCTTTGGCAAATCACTTTGTTTCGCTGAGGCTTGGTTTCATCATCTTTCAAATGAGGCTAATCCTTGCAATCACTTACCTCATAGGGTTGTGATGGCAAAAGCATTTTGTAAACCTTAAGGCATTATCCAAATGTTAATTATCCTTAATAATGGTTTCCTGTTGTCTACTTCATCAAGTTAAAATCCTGCTTGGCTTCAAGCCCTTCTACAATCAGACCTTACCCATCTGATCTTATCTCTCATTCCTCTCAGAGAAACTTCCTTCCTAACAGCCCTGGCTCCCTTTTGAACTTGATGATGCAGGGCTTGGTCCCATTTCCATGTCTTGTTCCTCTCACCTGGAGTGCCCTTCTTCTGCCTTTTCACTTCTTGAAATCTAGCCTGCCTTTCAAGGTGCAGCTCAAGATCCATCTCTTCTATAAAAACTTTGATGGCTTTATACCTTCCTCATCTCTTCTCTTAGTATTTCCAAGTTGTTTCATGTATGCATGTATGTTTCATTTCCACAGCTTGATTATGAGTTCTTTAAGGTTAGAGGCCATGTCTCACGCTTCTTTTCTATTCCCCCCAGAGTCTGGGACAATGCTGGGCAAGTTTAATAGGCCCTCAGTACATATTTTCTGCTTAGAATGTTGATGGGTTAGTTAGTGCTTGTGATAAACACGAATAATATTTCAGCCAGAATATGCTTGGCGGCCCCCTTGTGGTGTGATGAGGAACCAGAGCTCCCAAGTTGATGCTGCCCTGGTCCAGCCTTCAGAGCCTGGTAAGAATTCCCTGATTGTCATTGTCAACCTTTAACTTGGAACAGTTCATCAAGCATTTTTTAAACACCTACTGTATGTAGAGCATGGAGCTGGGGAGATAAAAAGTATAGGCTAAGATATAGTCTGTGTTGTCAGAGTTGATTGGCTAGTAGATTCACTTAAGTGACATCTGCCTCAGCTGTTGGTATTGGCCAAATGAATTGAAGGGTCTTTGAAGATCACTGACTGCGCTTGGTGAGGACAAATGCTTCAGGTGACTCTGGCCTGAACAGGAGCGGGTAGAAGTAATTGAGAAGAAGTGAAACTCACCCAGTGCCCCTTCATGCCTTCCTTTTCTTCTTAGGTACAAATGTTGCTGAAGCAGTGGGCTCAGGAACTGTTGGTTTCTCAGGGGATGAGATAGAGGGATAAGGGGGCCCTCCTTGAAGGACCATGATTTCTAGCAATGCAGATGATGGGGCTTAGGAAGAAATGAGGGGATCCATTGTGACCATTCCTGTGTAACCTGGTTCCCTTCATCTTTCAGAACCGACTGATCACGGATTGCCAAAGAACTAGAGGCCAATGTAACCGTATGACCAGAGCTGCTATTGAAACCGAATTGATGGGGCAGTAGGAGCACAGGGTGGGGACCGGGCCTTATGTCTGTCCTCTTCACCTCACCCCCAATCTGGACTCTTCACAGACCACTGGGTTTTCTGCTTGTTAGGAGCTCTTTGTTTTCCAGCGGGAGTGCCTGTGGAAGACTTTTATTTCCTGTCTAGAAATAGGAAAGGTGGGATAAGAGGGGAGCTGGGGTCTAGATCTCAGAGAAAAGGAGACTGAAGCTACGTGGCTCTGACACTCCACAGTTGGTCAGAATCCTCTAGATAACACTGTCAGGAGCTACTGACTGTAGTTTTCCCTTTCCGACTCTTCTTCCCAAATGGACACATCCTGTCTTGAGCCAGTGTAATATGTGTTGGTCAAGGTATAGATCTTTGTTTTCAGACTTTAAAAGTCACTTCCCAGCATCTCCCCCCAGAGCAGATGCTGTAGAGAGCGCTGTTTTGGTTTAGGAGAAAAGAGTTGACAAGATGTTAATGTTTCTGGTTAAGAGTAGCCCCATTTTTGAGCCTTAACTTTTCTCCCAGCCCCTGGTCTTTTCCCTCCAGCCATTTTGGCTAGATACTTTGCAGCGTCTTCTGTGCCTCAGTGGTGTGGCAAGTGTTTGGGTTCTCTGCTTGTGGTCACCATGGTCTTTCCCTCAGTAGTTCCCAAAGTTTGAAATGGACTTGGGTGTGGCTTTGGGATGAGAATAGGTAAAAGGAGAGCACTGTGGTGGCATGGACTGGAGTGTGATTGGGTGGCCCAGGCCAGCTGTTGGGACAATTCTGAGACAGAAAACAAAGCTGAGGTTTTTACCCGGTTTTTCTTCACATCCTTTTTCTTACCTCATGGAGGGCTAGAGTATGGTGTTCTGTGCTCTCTGACATCCTAAGTCATTCCCCAGCCTGTGCACTTTTGCCACTTAGCCTTTCTCCCTGGTCCCATCTCCCATTTCTTCATCCTTTCCATGAATGAGCCTGGGGATGAGCTTTCCCATTCCCTTCACCTTTGGGAAGAACCAGCCAGGGGCTTTGTGGAGCCAGCCAAGTTCCCACTGTCTCTCTTCTGAGATCCACCCCCCTACTATAGCTCCACGCTTTTGACTTTCCTTAGGAAAGTCCTACTTTTGTAGATGAATTCTCTGGACACAAGCTAGTGAAGCACCTTGGGGTCTAAGACTATGGAAGTCACAGCACATTTGAAGATGAAAAGATAAGCCCTTGGCTTCTCATCAGGGCAGTATGTTAAGTTATGATTTTCATCATTGAGTCATGATGCACTACTTGTGCGAGGCTGAAGGGCTACCTGTGTGCTCCTCTCAGACCCACTGGCCAATCTCCCACTGATCTCTCCCCTCTGAGGTCAGGGACTGTTGTTTGCCACTTCTATTTTCTCTTCTCCAGGACTCTGTACATAGTAGGTCCTCAATAAAGAGTTGAATGAATTTTCCAGCTCTGCTGTGTGACCTTAAACAAAACCAAACCTTAAACCCCCTTTGGGGTTCTGAGTTTTCTATAAAATGAGATGGTTGGACTCATGGGACATTTTGTGTTTTGATGGACCCAATAATGCAAATTCCCCCCCAAATCCCTGAAAGGGAAGAAACATGGAAGTCTCAGGTGCTGCAGAAAGGTTTTTATTTGTCACCAGTGGGTATGACTCTAATGTAGCGGGGCTAGAATGATAAGAGAGGGTGAGTGTTCCCCTATAGGGGGCAGCATCCCTGCTTAGGTACCACGACCTGAATGCACTAAAGGGTCATGACACCTTTTGCAGGTTCTGATGGAATCCGCCCTGGAGAGGCTTTGGATCCCACCATCATAGAGATGCTACCCCTTAGTTTAGGATACTGTCTCTCTCCTTTCACACCAGTCTTTTGCCCTGGCAGAGCCCTTTAGGCAGCTCACCAATGGGTAACTATGGGGAGGGGCGGTTGAAAAGGGCTGTTCAGAGAAGGGAGACAAGGCATTCATTTGTACTGGGCTGAGAGAGGGAGGGAGGGGCCTGGTTTATTTTCAGTGGGTCACTGGACTTCCAGGGCCTCCTACTTCAGATGATCTAAGGCAAAGGGGTTCGTTGGGGAGTTGTGGGAAACTCCAGGGCCAGAGTTCTCCTGAGGAATAGATCTGAGAGGTTCAGTAACCTGACTTAAAAGCTGATTTTCCTCTGTGGGTTGGACTAGGAAAACATTAATACTGGAAAATGAGTTGAGTATTCAGTAGAGCAAGGACCTGGGGTATGGAGGTGGGTGTCTGCACCTGTCTCTGATCTCATGCACACCTAGGCACACAACCCCTGAAAATACATCTGTGTGCATAGGCATTCTGATGTCTGGCCATGCACCCACACATTCTCTGAAAGCAGCGTCTTGTGGAGCAGGGTCTCAGGCAGACAGTATCGTCTGTGGGCTGTGGGGCTGTGGGGCTGGGACAATCCCTTTCCTGAACAGTGAACCTTTTCTACTCCCTGAGGACAACGGTTATTTCTGCCATTCTTCAGCAATCCTATCTTGGCTTCCTATTCCACGCTTCCGCAGATATTCCAGGATGTCCACCTTGACTGTACTGATTGTGGCCCGGTGGTACCAGCGCATGATGGGAACACCGTCTGGCCCCACCAGGAACTTCTCAAAATTCCAGCGGATGTCATGGGCCTTTAGGGGTTCCCAGAAGAGGTTTCTGGGTGTGCCCACAAGTTCAGAGGGGGCAGGGCAGGAATTCTGCAGGGTACATGGAAGCATAGAAACAATGAATGCTACATCTTTTAGAATCAGACGCTTCCCTGCCCCTCTCTTCCCACACTCCCCCCAAAATCCTATTTAATAGCCAAAACACCAAGTAAAGTACTAAGGTCCTGCCCCACACAGTAACACTGGGCAAGTTACTGTTGCCCATATTGTTATCCTGTTAACAGATAGCCCTTTGGGAACCCTACAAACTTGGAACCTTTTTAGCATCAAAACTAGGAAGTACCTTAGGAATCACCTAAACTGGGCCTCAGTTTCCCAATCTGTAAAATGATGAGTTAGACCAGATAGTCTCTAATGTCCTTTCCATCACTTATGTTAAAAAAGGCCTTCAAGGTGTTCCAAAAACAGGGCAGTTAATACAGGAACTCTCCCTCTAGCATAGTGGAAATAATGCCAACGCTCATTGGGGGCTGGTAGGGAGGAGTCCTGATGGTTTGTGAAGCACTTTTCTCAAAACAGTGCTATAAGGTAAGTAACACAAGTATTAGTGAGAGGCAGTGTGGGGTAATGGATAGGGAACTGGCTTTGGAGTCAGGATAATTTGTGTTCAAGCTCTGCCTCTGATGTCCAGTGTCTATATGATCATGGGCAGGGCCCTTAACCTACCTCTCAATGCTCTAGGCAACTTTATTGAGCCTGTGTCAGAGAATGTGTTGATCTCCATTAATGAAGGAATTCTCCTTACTCAGTAGTTCTCTATACCAATGAAACCACAATTCTTGTTCCCATCCTCTTTTATGTATGAAAAAACTGAGACCAGAGACAGGAAGGTGATTCTTGCCCCACCCTTTGCATGATGTGGTGCTGGGGAATTATAGTTGGCCTGCATTGGGAGACCCTGAACTGGTCCTGGATGCTTAGGCTAAGCAACACTTCTCTGCACTCAGCCAACCCACAGCTCTCATTCTGGCATTGGACCTCATCTCTTGGGAAATTCTGCCAATCAGCTTACCCTTAGAGACAGGGAAAGGATGAGCAAGAAGAGTGAATGACAGTCAGA